AATTGAAGTGGAATACTTGTGAACAGTGATTTCACATCAAATGACACTAGTTTGTAGTCGTCAGGTATCTGAACAGTCTTGGTAGCGTTAATGAAGTCTTCAGTGGATTGTAGTTTATGTCTGGATTTGTCGGTTAGCGGTTGTAGTATTGTCGTCAGGTACTTGGATAGTTGGTATGTGGGAGAGCCACAGAAAGAAACAATAGGTCGCATCGGGAAACCAGGTTTGTGTAGTTTCGGCAAACCGTAGAGTTTCGGTGGCTGTGGTACCGAGCACCTCAGTCGATAGTACCGTTGGGTGTCAAAGGCGTTCGTTTTCTTGAGTGTCAGTAGTTTACTGTTGAGTTTACGTTGAAGTGCAGGAGTTGGGTCACGTTTGAGTTCTTCGTAGGTTCGTTTGTCGTTAACTAGTGCGTCCATTTTGTCGTGATAGTCAGTTTTGTCCATAACAACAGTAACTCGTCCTTTGTCGGCTGGTAGGATGACTATGTTCTTGTCGTTTCTCAGTCGTTTCAGTGCGCGTTGTTCGTCTTTAGTCAAGTTGCTGTCATTTAGTGACGTTGATTGTATAGTGGAGGCAATTCTGCTTCTGATGTTATCCTTGGTCGACTTAGATAGCTCTCGTTGCCGAGACAGAGCCGCCTCAACACTAGATACAATAGCCTCAGTCGGTATACGTTAAGGTGTTACTGAGTGTTTTAGTCCGTATGATAGTACCTGAGTTTCAGTCTTGTCTAAGGAACGAGAAGAAATATTACTTACCCAGTTGTCCAACCGATCATTTTACACGAAATGGAATAAGAACATTCTACTGACAACAATCATTCACTTGACTCTGATGATGACTTCCGCACAGGTTGTCGAAACGTCAGTCACTACCACCGACAACATTCCTTCTCATGACTACACTCGCTCGGACGATCACACTACACCTTCAAATGAAATTATAATTAATCATTACCATTTTCGCGCAGGTATTTGCCTATTATAGCGGATAATCCTGCCGTTGTTAACGCTGCTGATGTCTCTGATCTGGAAAGGAGATCCATGGGACAACGAGCTGGGTTTTTAGCTTGCATTTGCCTTGATGACGAGAGGTTCTTGCTGAAATTATTCTGTTTTCCTTTAAAATGCAAATCCAGAGTGGGTGATGGTATTTCAAGCTACAATGTGATTTATCAAGGTGAAGGAAACTCGGAGAAACCGCTATTTAACGAGGACCAAACGTTTGTGTCTCTTTCGGAAGGACTGAAGGTGCTCGGAGAAAAAAACAGTGAAGACCTCTCCTTAAAGTAAGAGTTTGTTACCTTCATCATTGTTACTATCACTTGATGCGGATTCCTGTGATCTAAGTTTCATTTTGCATGTCCCTCCGGCCAAACTGTATGGCGCTTCTAGCAAAGTACTACGATAAGAGACTTTCCTTTGTTCATTTTACGCCAGGTTTTTCGGGGATGGAGAAAACCAAAAAGATGTGTACGTTACTATCAAAGATAAAAGGAAAATGTCAGTAAACTTCTTGGAATGGTTGAACGCTGAAGAGAGGAGACACCCTGAATCGATATGCAATTTTCCTATAATTCAAACAAAATCCAATACACAGGTATTTCCTTACTGCTAATCAACTTAAAAGTAATTCTGAACTTGTGATTAAAACGGCACAGCAATGACTGTAAACTATGCTGGATCCATGACTAATCCCGCCACCTTACGTAATTAGTGGAAAAGATATTTAGAAAAGTAATTTGTAAGTTTGGTTGTTTTCCTCACGCATCCCTAACGTGCCGAGCCGTTAGCATTACAAGCCCGCCATCGTTTATCAGGTCGGCCATGTTTGATTTAGAGTTAGAGTGGACGATTGGAGAGGAGAATTTTTTAACCGTCCCTCATCACCTCGTTAAATTTATCTTCAGTCTCCACCCAATTTTTCCCTGCTTTAAAAATCAAAGAGGGCAGGTACAATTTTCACCAAGAAGACACTGAGCACAGATCTTACTCAAGTTAATCGTGAAAATCGCAGACTTTAATCATTGCACAGTTCAATGTTTAATTTATTAGCTGAGAAACTGTTGACTGGCTATTTTTTTATATTTATTTACACGACATACGTCCGCCTCCTCGATGAACAAGTGTTGAATTTGTGTCACCTTTTGGAGCTTAGATCGGATAAACCTAGAACACATCTTTTGACAAAAAAACTGCAAATTTAATGATGGCAACTTCCACCACTAAAGGAAGGGTTTTTCGGTTTTGCTAAAAGATTGATATCAATAACTTTAATTAAGCGAAATATAATGGAGATTGTTTTCATTTTGTTAAATGACTTGTCTCTATCCTCTCTGTCCTTTCCACGGACAACCTCACCCAGGCAACCAGAAACGATTGTAAGTTGGTGTAGCAGGGATTTCTCAAGTACTCACATATTTTTAAGCCCAGCAGCATGAAAACTGCTCTGTTATCGACATTCGGTTTGATTGACCGCAAATAGATCGTGCAGATATACTACACAAACTGAAATTGCCAAGTAGCACACTAATTAATTAAAGCTTTGAGCACGCGCCGAATCTGGAGCATGGTTTTCTTTCTTTTTTTGCTACGTCAGTAGCCGCTCAGTTTTGGAGTCATATGAGAATTGATGACACGACACCTTTTGAGGTTGTATTGCAAAGCTAAGGCAAAGAAAGCTTTACACGGCATCTTTTTTGAGTGTACATTCACATGTATCTATCTCTCGGTATGTCTATATCTGTCTTTCTTTCTCCTTTGCAAGTTCCGTATGATACTTTTTCATCTAAAGATATGGTGCTCTTCCGGCAGGCGTCTTCAAATATTACTGGCAGGTCACAAAGCGAACGAGGAACTCGAGTTAATCCAAGAGGGTCCGACTCAATATTGAAGGTTTCTCTTTTGGCAAGTGAGTGGAATTCATCAATGGGAGGATTGTCCACAATTAACAGACACCTCGCCATTCAATTGGGAAGACACACTAAACTAGAAGTCACTCTCCTTGTTCCTCCGTTAAGCTGCTCTGAAGAAGAGAAAAGAACCGCAAAAAGTCACAATGTTAACATCAGGGAAGTACAGAGTCGTCCAGGTTACAACTCCCTTGACTGTCTGATCTCTCCACCGAAAGACCTGTCAATTGATATAATAGTGGGTCACGGTCAGAAGCTTGGTAAACAAGCCCAATTCATCACAGTATCGCACGGTTGCAAATGGATTCAGATAGTGCATACTTCGCCTGAGGATCTAGGAATGCACAAAGATTATCCCATGGCCATTCAAAAGGGTGAAGAGAAGAAAAACACCGAGGTAGAGTTATGTAAATCAGCAGATGCTGTTGTTGCAATTGGACCGAATTTGGGGGAGACCTTCTCGGCTTATCTTCGCTCATGTGGAAAACAGCAAGATATAATTGAGCTGACTCCAGGCATCTTCAGTGAATTTTCGACTATAAAACATGCTGCGGTGGACAATAAAAAGTTTAGGGTGTTGACCTTTGGTCGTGGTGATCAAGAGGACCTTAAACTGAAAGGATACGATATAGCTGCTGAGGCAATAGCTAAACTGAGCGACCCTTCTTACTGCCTAATTTTTGTGGGTGCACATGACGGAAAACAGGAGGATGTTAAAGAATTTTTGCATCAGAGTGGAATTCCTGATACTCAGCTGACTGTGCGAAAGTTTGTGCAAAGCAAGGAGAAATTGGATGNGAATCATATTTCTTTTCTTTTTTCCACGTTCAGGCTTGTGTAAAGACGAATGACCCCTTTTCTTATGGAACCTTTTTATTTACCAACGCTACAGGCAGCCGTAGAAGTCTCGGAACGTAAGAACTGATCGTGAATGCCGTCGAGCAAACACGGTTGGTCGTACGAAGCATCATCCTTCACTCAGATATCTACTTGGTAAGAAAAATGGGTTGCATGGGTATATACTGCAGAGAAAGTAGCTTGAGTTATACCTCATTTTTTTTTGTCACCAGCTTACCCATAATCTTGTCAATCGAACTGTTTTATTCTAGAGAAAGTTGAGTTTCTAACTTACGTGTACACACCTTTAGGCAACATTCACTGAGGTCACGACTTTCCTAGGAGATGTCCGCTTTTGTTCGATTGGCGTAACAAGTGAGACATTCGTACCATGGGCTGTGGCGTGGGGCGCTTCTCAACTTAGCTCTTTGATGACGGGGGGGCCAGTTTTGCTCCTTTTAACCTTGCAGGGGGGGAGATAGGGAGTTCTGAGGAAATGGTGATAACTAAAAACGAATCTGGTGCCAGCGTTGCTTGTAGAATCACTTGTCTCCTTGTTACAACGGTTGTTTTTGGCGATGACTGTGAAGTGAATTTTGACGACAAGGTAATTGAGAATTTGATTCACAATTCTTCTTTGGCTTCTTTTGGGAGTCAAAGCGTTTACCTAACAAAGTATTTTGTTTGAACGAAAAGGTGGCGACTTGAAGTGTTGGCTAGCTTCCAGCTCTGTGCTTAATGCAATTTCTCTCACAGTCCTCGACAGAAATCCGCTTCAAATCATGGTCAATTGACTAACAGGAATTCTACCTTGTCCTAATTGCAGGAAAATTAAGTCAAGTACTTAAAAATAGAAAAAAAAATTGACGAAAAATGGCCACAACTCGCTCAAAAAAACCTCTGGAATTCAACGGGGACGTTATCTCAGTCGGAGTATTTAGCTAAGGACATAATCACATGCATCACCATTTACCCTCGAGCAGTTCTTTCATACTTGAGCTTTAGCGTGGGGCTCTCGCTCGTTCTCTTTCTCTCATTTTATCGTTGTCTATTACGTGAGTATCATATCTGGAATCTAGTACTTATTAAACCACGGATATGTTACTCATCTGCATTTCCGATTTCACGACTTACTTCAGTCAAAAAGGAAATAAAAATGTCAAGGACGCCTTAAAGAAAATGTGGTACGAGGTTTTCTTCCAATTTTCCTGCGGTATAAATGGTTTATATTTATAAATTCAAAATAATAGCAAGCTTCGTGGGCTTAATGACTTACAGCACTAGGATTGTTTGAATTGATGTCATACATGCGTATATGTTGATATCCTGAGGTAAAAAAAGGATAAAAACAAGATGTTAATGTGAATTTAAAACAGTTCTGTAGTTACCAATACCCAGTTAGACTGCTCTTTCTTTCTAAGAGTCATGGTCATAATCTATTGAAGCACCTTCTGCTCCACCTTCAAAGTAACAAGGTTGATCATTCTAGATAAAATTTTTTTTCCACTCAGAAGTCAAGAGCAAGTTACCTGCAGCAGCTAATAACTGTCTGTCTGGTGTGATCTGCATTGCATTGACTTGCTAATACAATAGAGTTAAAGATTTCAACATTTACAAATACAACAATGAAGTAAGTAAAGTTGAAATCTGTGACAAAATTCACCAACATAAAACAATCACAAGGCCACTTTGTAGGAAGTAATGGGAAATAAAATTAAAAATAAATCAAAATTCACCACAATACGATATGCTTTTTATAAGAGCGTTAAAACCAAATCTCAACGTGCAATCAGACTCCATTGGTGTGAAAGTATTTTTTACAATATTTTTATGATCTTCGCACCCTCTTATGTTAATTATTCGCACCAAAAACGCTTTATATCTTGCAATTTGCATGATCTTTTATATTTTCCTTGATAATGGAGTCATGACTACTCTGAAACATCGGATTTTCTTGTTAATTTTTACAGTTTTAATACTCATAAAAATCACAAAAAAAAACCAGCAAAAATGTAAAATTTCTCTGTGAGAGAAAGAATAAAATAAGAGTTATTTAAGATAGAACATTGTAATCAGTCCCGTTGTGGGTTGTATGTTATCAACTAGGACTTCTACTGTACAAATCGATTTTGGTACAACTGACGTCTTTAGTTACCACATGACTTAACCCTTACATTATCAGAAGTGATTAACGTGTAACTTCTCCCTATAATATCCATACATTCTCCAGCAAACAGGTAATGAGAATACTCAGACTCAGTTGTTATCTTGATCAAACATTAAATTATCTTAAAAGTTTTACCAGGAAATGTGTTGCAACTAAAGAGGAGAGGTAACAATAAAGTCTTGGGAGTTATATGGTTAAACCTTCTGTTATCTTGAACTCAAGTTTGTGTCTCTCAGAATTGTGTCTGTGTTTCAATGAATATAATTTCAAGATATGTTGCGAGCCTCTCTACCCAGTTAATTGTGTGGGTATATTCTCAAGTTTTTCAGGTTCTCAGGTTTTGTTTCCTTCGATAAACACCGTGCAAGTGAGATGTTTATTTTATTATTTTTTTTCGTAATTTGCAGCAAGCTAAATTTTACAAATGCAAAGGATACCGAGTCTGGATGCTGAACAGTGCGATGACATATTCCACTATGAGCTTGCTAGAATTTAATAGCATGGTCATAACCTGCTGTGGCTAAAATAACCGGTTCACTTGAACCTTCTGTTTCAGCAGTCATCTTGTAGTTATCATCTGTTGGTTTGTTGTCGTTGATAAGGTAGAAATTTCATGCAAAACCCGGATAGCCCAAAGCTGGTTCAATCAGTACGTTATCGGGTACTCAAGTTGTATTACTTGACGTATCTTCCTGGTTTTAAATAAGCCACTGACTTAATGAAATTGGCTCAAGGTATTTTTTCTTTCTTTCAAGGGAGGGGCAAAATGTAGTTAATAACAAGACAAAAGATAAGAAAAAAAACTTCTGAATCACGCATTTTTAACAGATTATCTACGCGGTCTTTCTCAAATCTATAGAGAAATGTTAAAGGAATATTCATTCCTATTAATTTACACAGGGGGCTACAACAGTGGGTTCCCACCCTCCCAAGAAATCATTTGTCAGTTTATCGCGCCTGGAACATTATGATTCGGTAGGGGATTTCAAAGCGGTTTCATATCTAGATATGGGGATTCCCGGACTTACAAGTTAGATCAACTCACTTGGAACGCTTTGGATAGAGATCAATCTTAAAAATACAAAACTTGTCATCGATGGATCTTGTCTGTGCCATTATCTTTACGCTAGCAATGGCTTAGACTGCCGATGTGGTGGTCAGTACCAAGAATATTACGATGTTGTAGTTTCGTTTTTCGATGCTCTGATTTCGAACGGTGTGGAAACCTATGTTGTATTCGATGGAGCACATGATCCAAGTGACAAGAAGTTGGAGACACTTAAAGCACGAGCTAAGGAGAGGGTTAAACATCAAATGCTTTGTCGAAATCCGCTGATGATCGAATGTGTTTACTTCCGCTTTTGGCGAGGCACGTGTTTGTGGATGCACTTAGGAATCGTGGTGTGAAGTTCGTTTTCAGTGATAGGTAGGAGTGATTTATTTATTACAATGCTCATCGACAACGCTATGAAGAAAAGTAGCCCCTATCGCCTCTTTTAAGGAATCCGCCATGAAGGCTTTAGAAACAACGAAATAACAGGATCTTGGAAAGAACAATATAATAGGTCATTCTTAGGAAGAAACTACAGTTACAGTGTTGGAGAAACTTTATGGCGCTGTATGATTTTTAAAGCCACATGATGTGTTCAGTATGGTGCAATTCTTTACCGAGACTTC